AATGTTTCCTCCTTATATCTGTTCATTATTCAGATGTAAGCAAAGGAGTGTTGTGGTTTCCTGACCACATTTTCCAGCGATAGCCTTGCACTATGCAAAGGGCATGAGTGACCTTCAGGAGTCTTGCTGATGTTTGGTTCCTCATTGCAGAATATGGGGGCAATCCATGAAAATGCAACATCTCAAACACACTTTTCTGTAACTCTCCTCCAGTGGAATAGGTAAACATCTTTTCTACAATCTTTTTTCTGTCATCTCCATATTCTATCTGCTGTGTTGTCCAATTTTGTGTAATAGACATTCAAAATTTGATGTGCCATGTCGTTAGATCTCCAGCTCTCACTTTGCAACTGTGACTACTACTCTGCACTCTATTCAAAGGTAGTATATAATAATAAAGACAATTTTATTTATTTATTAATCGTATCAGAAGTGAACCAAAGGTACACTTGTAATGTATTTAAAAAAACAAAGTTTAAAAAATGGACATTATACTAAATGTCCGTTGACCAGTAGCTGGCCACTTGGAGTGTCTCTGGTGTTGATATAAAGTTGATATAAAGTCCTCCATTGTGCATGTGGCAGGACTTGTAATAGGTGGTTTGTGGTTTGCTCTTCTGCACACTCGCATGTCGTGGACTCCACTTTGTAGCCCCATTTCTTAAAGTTGGCTCTGCATCTCAAGGTGCCAGAGTGCAATCTGTCCAGCGCCTTCCAAGTTGCCCAGTCTTCTCTGTGCCCAGGAAGGAGTCTCTGATTTGGTATCAGCCATGGATTGAGATTCCAGGTTTTAGCCTGCCACATTTGGACTCTTGCTTGCTGAGGCATTCCTGCGAGTATCTCTGTAGATCTTAGAAAGATCTTTCTTGATTCAAAGCATTGGCGTGCTGGCTGATATCCGAACAAGGGGTGGGCTGTCACCATCTTGGTCCTTTCATTTTTGGCTGCTACTTCCTACGCAGTGTAGGGCGTAGACATCCTGTGATAATGCAGCATGTCTCATTAAGAGCCACATCCATTGTTTTAACATGGTGAGATGTGTTCCACACTGGGCATGTGCACTCAATTTTAAAAAGAAGCAACCAGAATCAGCTTGCAGCATGCAACCATTTTATAAATTAAGACTATGGCTGTACTCTGTAGCTTTGTCTCCCTGGTAGACATGTAAAAGCACATATTTCATGTGATGCATCTAACATTGATATCTAATTGTATCCATCATTTGTATGCATACAGTTGCATTGTAGGAAAGAGTGTATAATTGAGATCAATTATGCTAACAAGGGGCAGAATATATACTAGAGGCAAATTAGGTGAACTGAGTATGTGCCCTTCCATCTATGGAGTTCAATTATAACACAGTTGTGAAGACTGCGCTCTGCCTGCAAAAGGTTCAGGGTTCAACCCTCGAGTTCCCTCATTAAAAGGATCTGAAATATCAGACTCAGAAAAACCTTTGCCTGTCAGAAGTATTGGGATGGTGTCAAATTTTTCAAACTTCTTGTCTAAGATGAGGTCAAGCTTTTGTCCGGTATGTTTAATGATCAGATAAATATAACTAACGTTAACTGCTCTCAAACTGAGAGTAGATCGCTATTAAGCTACTGCAAGATAGCAAGTGGAATGAGCCACACGGAGAATGGAGCATTCCTTAAACATAAATCAAAATACATTTTGAAGAAAGATTAAAAATACTTGTGCTTAAAAATACAAGGAACACAGCTTTGTTGCTGAAATGTTTTACAAAAAGAACAATTTTATCATGACAAAGGTCAGATAGCTAATATCTATCACTATCGCCAACCAAATTCATTAGGTTGCTGAAGCAGCTGGCAAAAACAGCTAAAATATAATTCTGTTCTTCAAGCCATGTTCTCCAGGTTCAGCCTCTCCATCTGCCATATGCTTTCAGGCTACTACTTGCTCACATCTGTCTTTTCCCTCTTCTGTGTCATCCTCTCTAAACCTGTGGAGGTAATATGCCGGAGAGGGAGGCATATGCAGGCAAAGGTTTTCTGAAATAATCTGAAAACGGACAAAACAGTTCAATAGAGAAGAAAATAAATCCTGTATATTACATACTACAGCAATGGCAATTGCCTTCCAAGGTTCCCTGCACAAAAATGGCACTGTATTGCTAACGAGCCACTGCTATCTCTTTCAATCATTTTAAATAAGTCGTTTCATACACAGTGATTTAAGGGAAATAATGGACGAGAAAAACTGAAATGGACATATGCCTTTGAACTTGGGAATGGGATGCTAAGCAAGCAAGGAGGTAATGGCATAGAACAATAGAGTTGGAAGAGACCCTGTGGGCCATCCAGTCCAACCCCCTGCCAAGAAGCTGGAAAATCGCATTCAAAGCACCCACGACAGATGGCCATCCAGCCTCTGTTTAAAAGCCTCCAAAGAAGGAACCTCCACCACATTCCGGTGCAGAGAGTTCCATTGCTGAACAGCTCTCACAGTCAGGAAGTTCTTCCTAACGTTCAGGTGGAATCTTCTTTCCTGTAGTTTGAAGCCATTGTTCTGCATCCTAGTCTCCAGGGCAGCAGAAAACAAGCTTGCTCCCTCCTCCCTACGACTTCCCCTCACATAGTTATACATTGCCCTCACCATATCTCCTCTCAGCCTTCTCTTCTGCAGGTTAAACATGCCCAGCTCTTTAAGCCACACTTCACAGGGCATGTTCACCAGACCTTTGATAACTTTAGTCGCCCTCCTCTGGACAAAGCTGGGTTGCAGTTAAACATAAAAAAACCAAGATTCAGGCAACTGGATTGATTGATAACTGGCAAATAGAGGGAGAAAATGTGGAGGCAGTGACAGACTTTGTATTTCTAGGTGCAAAGATTACTGTAGACGCAGACTGCAACCAGGAAATCAGGAGACGTTTACTTCTTGGGAGGAGAGCAATGATCAATCTCAATAAAATAGTGAAGAGTGGAGACATCACACTGGCAACGAATGTCCGCATAGTTAAAGCAATGGTATTCCATGTATTAATCTAGAGCTGGAGCGTAAGGAAGAGCTGGAGCATAAGGAAAAGCTGTACCTTAGGGAAGGCTGAGCGAAGGACGATAGATGCTTTTGAACTGTGGTGTTGGAGGAAAATTCTGAGAGTGCCTTGGACTGCGAGAAGATCCAACCAGTCCATACTCCAGGAAATAAAGCCTGACTGCTCATTGGAGGGAAGGATATTAGAGGCAAAGTTGAAGTACTTTAGCCACATCATGAGAAGACAGGAAAGCTTGGAGAAGACAGTGATGCTGGGGAAAATGGAAGGAAAAAGGAAGAGGGGCTGATCAAGGGCAAGATATAGATGGATGGTATCTTTGAAGTGACTGGCTTGACTCTGAAGCAGCTGGGGGTGGTGACGGCCAACAGGGAGCACTGGTGTGGGCTGGCCCATGAGGTCACAAAGAGTCAGAAATGGCTGAACACAAACAACAACCTCTGGACACCTTCCAGCTTGTCAACATCTCCCTTTCAACTGTGATGCCCACAATTGGACATAATACTCCAGGTGTGGTCTGACCACAGCAGAATAAAGGGGTAGCATGACTTCCCTGGATCTAGACTGGATGGTTTTATTCTTATTTTTCTCAATGGTTTCATGTTAAAGTGCAGCTATTTCTGAGAGACATTATGAAATCCCCAGTACAAATTCAATGGGACTCATGAAAAAGAAATCCAACTTACTCTGTTTTTGTGTAAAAGCAGTCTTCACATTTATTGTGTGTGTGTGTGTGCATGTGTGTGTGTGTGAAAAGTTTACATGAAATTATTGGGTACCCTTGAGAGAGTACTTTGAGACACAGCACTCTGTGCTAAACCATCTAACCAAACTTTGCCATGGCTGATGCCCAGGCAGTCTGCAGGGCAGCCAGGCACTACAAGCCCATTGTGCTTAAGACTTCAAAACAGAACACGCTCAAGAGATTAACACTGTATGCAGCTATTGCTAATTAACAGTTTGATAAAGTGTATCCATGTGAAACTGTACTGAATTTTCCCCACTCAGAATATATCTGTTGAACCTTAGCCCCAGTTAGTTAATGGCTGCCAGCTTGCTTGAGAAGAGACAGTGTCATGATGCTTCATGGAATGACATAAATTAAAAAGCATTCGCAGAAGCGGCCCCACCTCTGCCCCCAAAGGTAATTTTTCTACAGTCTCTCATGCTATCTCCACAGCCAGAAAACCCAAGAGAATCAACTGTAAATGAATTTATCCAGGGAAGATGTATCTTAAACTTTCAGTTTACAATTGTCAAGAGTAACACAACCTTATTTTATGCACTGATTTCCCACTATAAAATCCATTAATAATGCTGAACCTGAGAAGAAGAAAAACGTTAATGTCCCCACCTAAATAATAAGAATTTCGATGACATTCTATAATGAACTAGTAGTGTTTACAGATTAGCAGAATGCACTAAAATCTTCAAAAATTCCAAGGAAGGCTGTAATTTTGTGATGCTTAGAACTGAGTTCCTTAGTTTTTTGCCCAAAAGTGCATTTTAATATAACTCATCAGAATAAATATTTCATTTTTCTCAGGGTATGATTTTTTATATATATTTTAAAGTACATCATTTGTTTATATAGTAATTCATAACACACGTTGTAATCTAAATGCATTCTAAAAGGTGCCTAAGTCAGAGTGTAATGTATAAAAATTAGTAATGTGTCAGAATAGTGTTTCAAGAGCAGCATTTGACAACACAGCGTAAGATACTCTAGTACTGAGAGCTATATCTGTACATATTTATATGTTCTCATTCTCACCAAGATTTATGGAAAATGTATTAACCAAAGTGTTATAAAATTGGGCTGCATTTATTACCAGGAGCCCTAATGTTATGGGAGATTTTTCAGCTGAAAAAAATGTACCATATGGAGCTAAAGCAAAAAAATTCAGGAAAAAACACACACACACCTGTGGTCACAGCTGTGGTCACAGCATGTTGTTCGGGAAAATAATGTCATATCCCCTTTCGCATGACTGCTATACTTTAATTTGCTGACTAAAGTACAACAACAGCAAAACTCAAAAGAAAAAACAGTCACACATCCTTACAAGGGTCACTACGCTTGGACCGGTCAGCAGATCTTTCCCCAGACAATAACCTGCCTCTGTATCACGAAAGCTGACACACAATTACAGCAGGGGTGTTAAAGACCTGTCTGACCACTGTACATGTTTCATCAGTTCTGTATCTGATAATGGGATCTAATTATTATGGAGGGTTTGCAAGACATAGTGAAAGAGGGAAGGGTTAGGCCAATTAGCTGCTCCTGATTTAAGTGCTCTTTGATGAAATCCAAGTGCTCCAGCAACTACATTTACAGTGGCAGCCTCTCTTTTAGCTAGTTACTTTTCTGCCTAATGGGCATAGGAATGGTCCATTTAAACAGATAATACTTTGACCTCAGTACTAAAAATGAATCTGGAACCATCACCAAATCAGAACTAGAGTAAGCGATCGGTAGAATAGGACTATTGTACTCCACTGCCTTCTTACACATCGAGCTGGTTTCTAATGTTTGGTTGCCTTATGGTCAATTCATGCACAGCTATTTGAAATACATTTCAGCTCTAGTGTGCATAGGTTGATCATCATCACAGCAGAAGGGTGTTGTGTGAATGTATTTGTCCCAGAAGGAGCAAGCATGACACTGATTAGTTGTGCTGCTTTTCTCCCTGAACAGGATCTGATAGACTCGTGGCAGCTGTCTGCTATGATCAGAAGGCGACAGCTTAATCTGTTTTGCTTTGGGTTCATTTGAAGCCAAACACCTGTCAGGTTAGGAAAACAAACTCAAAGTTTAGTAGTGTGAATATGCACTGAATCTGAAATTATCGTGGACCAGTTTCACATTAGCAGCTCTCGTAGGTACACCAGGACTTCACGACTAAATCCAGTTAACTCGGGAACCATTTAAAGAATTTTAAGTTAAGGAGACCAATGGAATTTGGTCAGATGGCAGTATAAACCCAGTCTTACGGAGGATTTCAGTTCTAGCCTCTTTCTCATTCTCCTGTTCCAGAGACAGGGTTTGAGTTATCGACAATGTATTGTGCTTATGCTGGGAACCCCTGAGTTAATCTTGATGGGAAAATGTGTTTGTAGGATTCTTGGAAAGTGGTGCACCGAACACAGAGTCTCTAATGAGAAGCACAGCTTCGGTCTCCTACATGAAATATACAGATTCAGCTCAGCTCACCCAGCTGGCATATGGCAAACCTAATATTGTTTTTTTGGAAGAGCATGAAACACTGAATTGTAGTTCAAAAGGAGTAACCATATCTATTATTTAAAATTTGGAATGAGTAGGAGTAGCTTACAATTTGGTTGGATCTTCAACATTTATGTGCCCTTAACGGGAGAGTTTGTAAGTAATGATGTCAAACTGGTGACACCCTTTAAATGATATGACAGGACTCTTAGAAACTTATTGGTACAATTCGTATCAACCAGCTACTTCACAGATGGCTAATACTGTCACTGCATTCCTCATGGGATATCAAGTGCATTGGAAAAAAAGACCTGTCAGAAAAAGCCGGTATAAATGCTAGAAAACCAGTATTGTTTCAAATATGCCTAGCTAGTTCCCAGGTCAGCATTTCACACTGTGGTTTCTATGGTCTCAATCACTTCTAGTTCACATTGTGAGGGTGATAAGAGGGGACACTCGTCCGGTTCCCAGCTACTGTCTGGACTATAATCTTCTTCTGAGCTGAGCTCCGCCCCTTCCTCGGTGTCTTCATCACAGGACTCCATATAGTGAGCCCCAACGGCATTGATCCCAGAGTCCTCAGAGCTGGAGGGGGAAGAGCAATGATCTATTTTTGGTGTATTATTCTCTCTCAGAATTAAGGCATTGCGTGTGGGGACCTCCTGAGGCTTCATTTTATGGGGTACAGCAGGAGGTTGCCTCTGGACATAACACATCTTCCCATTGATGCATTTCACACGGTAGTTGTCAATAAAGAGGTCCGAGATTGTGCAGAACCGGGGGGAGTCTGGGGGCAACGGTGGTTGGAAGACAGGTGCAAACTTCAAAAAGTGTTCCGTGAGCGAGACAGAGATCTGAATGGTGTTTGTGGATCCTCGAGGCTGAACAGGGATTTCGGTGCTTGGAAGCTGCTCGACCGGAGTCATAGGTTGATAAACATATTTACCTGTGGAGGACAAAAGAAAATGAGTTAGAAGAAATGTAGTACTGTAAAAGGTAACTAGGTTTATTTTAGTTTATTTATTTACTTACTTACATCCCACTTTATCTCTCCCTATGGAGACTAGTCATTTCATTACATTAGGCAGGGAAGTGTGTGGCAGAGGAGAGCAAAGAAGAGCTCAGTCTTACTCAGTTTTTTAATGAAACTGATTTTTCCCTACCTTCTATCACACTGCTAATGTGTCAGTTTCCTTTCAGTATTCTTTCACTACAGTTGCCCTCACGGGCAGAGATTTGGCCTCACCCATCATCTCTCTCCTTGCTCATTGCTGAAAACTAAGAGGAAGGAAGGAAAGGTTGTGATACTCTCTCTCTCTGTCTCTCCCTCACCCCTCTCTCTTGGTTGCCCCACAGAGAAGGGTGTGGACCTTGGAAAACTATAAGTCCCAGGACTGCAAAGTATGGAGCTATGGTATTTAAAGTGGGGTCCAAGAGCGTTCATTCCATAGTGTAAATGCACCAAGAGAAGGGTATGGACTTTGGAAAACTATAACTCCCAGGACTGCACAGCATGGAGATATGGCATAATATCAACAACAACAACAACATTTAAAATGAGTCCCGACTGCATTTATTCTTCAGTGCAAATCCAACGAGAGAAGGGTATGGACCTTAGCAAACTATAACTCCCAGGACTGAATAGTATGGAGCTATGGCATTTAATGTAGGGTTCAAGAGCATTCATTCCATAGTGTAAATGCACCAAGAGAAGGGTATGGACCTTAGGAAACTATAACTCCCAGGATTGCATAGTATGGAGCTATAGTATTTAAGCATTTATTCCATAGTGTAAATGCACCAAGAGAAGGGTATGGACTTTGGGAAACTATAACTCCCAACACAGCATGGAGATATGGCAGCATAATAACACCACCAACAACAACATTTAAAATGGGTCCCAACTGCATTTATTCTCCAGTCCAGATGCAACCTGAGAAGGGTATGGACCTTAGGAAACTATAACTCCCAGGATTGCATAGTATGAAGCTATAGTATTTAAGCATTCATTCCATAGTGTAAATGCACCAAGAGAAGGGTATGGACTTTGGGAAACTATAACTCCTAGGACTGCACAGCATGGAGAGATGTCATAATGATGATGATGATGATGATGATGATGTCACAAGTACCACCTGCCAGCAGTAAAGAATTGGTGGGATCATAAACCCGCAAAGGTTGTGGAAAATGAACATGCAAAAATACTGTGGGACTTTTCAATCCAGACTGACCAAGTTTTGGAACACAATACACCAGACATCACAATTGTGGAAAAGAAAAAAAGTCTGGATTATTGATGTTGCCATACCGGGTGACAACTACATTGAGGAAAAACAACAGGAAAACCTCAGCCACTATCAAGACCTCAAAATCAAACTGCAAAGGCTCTGGCATAAACCAGTTCAGGTGGTCCCAGTGGTCATTGGCGCACTGGGTGCCGTGCCAAAAGATCTCAGCCTGTAGGCTGTTAGGAATTGTGGGAGTTGAAGTCCAAAACACCTGGAGGGCCAAAGTTTGCCCATGCCTGTTCTAGGACACCTCTCATGTTCTTTCTTGTCCCTTCCTATAGGCTGAAAGCAAACATTCCATTTGCAGGATTTTCTTGGATCATTCCTTTTTTAAAAAAAAGCAGTATGTCTAGTTTTCTACAATCCCTGAAAACGCTGCTTTCATTTAGGTTACTTACACAACAAACTTATTTCAAGAGGCTATTGCATTTTTCACTTACTAGCATTGGATGATGCTATCGTGGGTGCCGTTGGGAAAGGAGGAGATATTAAAAAGAAGGAAATGAAAGGATTCCAAAGCTGTGAATGCCACTGGCACTCTCATAATTCAACTAAATATGAAGAAAATAGGATTAGGCTGGCTGTAAAATGGACTCTTATGCCATACTGAACAAGAAGCTTAAAAGCACTGCTAAAGGGCAGTGTGTGGAAGGAATAAGCAAAGAATGAGAAATCCAGGGGCAATTCAAAAATGGAACAGAATAGAATCTAATTTAAAATTTTTTAAAAACCTTCCTAAAATGCATCTTATTTGTAGTTTATGAGCAGATGTGTTACAGAACTGTTGCAAAATAATTCTATGTTCTAATGCCATTGCGGTAAACAATAAAGTAAAATGTTTTGTCGAAGGCTTTCAGGGTCAGAATCACTGGGTTGTTGTAAGTTTTTCAGGCTGCATGGCCATGTTCCAGAAGCATTCTCTCCTGACGTTTCACCTGCATCTATGGCAGGCATCCTCAGAAGTTGTGAGCTGTATGTGATTACTAGTGGGGTTCTGCTGTTTCATAATGTACAGAGTTTTAGATGAGTCTTGAGTACAAATATTATCTCATTGACCCTCCAATTCCAGAGTAATGCCTTCTGTAATTCCAAGAGTTTGCCATCTCTGGGACTGATTGGAGGACATGGCTGTAAATGGTAGATTTTGCAGTATATTCAGGGTAGAAGCTGGAAGCATAGAAATACACGCAGCAGTAGCTGGCCTTTTAATTTAGTATGGTACTTAAGATTATGTAACTGAACTGTAGTATCCAAAAAGTTCACCTGTTTTGTGGGTTGTTCCAAACCCAGACTGGGTTTGTTTTTTTTGTCATGTCAGGAGCAACTTGAGAAACTGCAAGTCGCTTCTGGTGTGAGAGAATTGGCCATCTGCAAGGACGTTGCCCAGGGGACGCCTGGATGATTTGATGTTTTTATCATCCATGTGGGAGGCTTCTCTCGTGTCCCTGCATGAGGAGCTGGAGCTGACAGAGGGAGCTCATCCGCCTCTCCCCGGATTCGAACCTGTGACCTCTCGGTATTCAGTCCTGTCAGCACAGGGGTTTAACCCACTGCGCCACCAGCGGCTCTGATGAAGAGGGTGAAGACTGGTGAAGAGGGTGAAAAATTGTTGAAATTCTGGAGAACCATCTTGAATTATTCTTCTTTATATGTTCATATAAGAATCTCATTGATGTACGTAAGGTAGAAGAAGATTTCTGGGCACAAGAACTGAGGAAACATTTTCCCAGGTCAGCCATGAAGATGTTCACATATGGTGATGCCATGCATGTGCTGTGGCAATGCTCTTAACTTGAATCTGTAATCTGTACTAGATTGAGATATGAGTGTACAGAGATTCCACATTCACAGCGTCTACGGTGGTGGTCCTTGGGAAGTTGAAAATGGATTGTAATTTCCATGGAAAATTGGCTGTATCTTTCACACAGCTTGGAAGGTTTGTGGTATATGATCTAAAGAGTTTGTCCATATATCCAATATGTTCCATTGCCTGAAATAAAGGGCTTTCAAATGTGACGTTGTTTATGTATTTTGAGTAATAGACAAAATGGTATCTGGTTGAGACTCTTGGGGTATGTCAATTTGGAGGTGGTTCTGTACATCAGTAAGGAATTGCCTGAGCAATTTTACAATTTCTTATGGTGTTTATTTATAGGATCTGAAGAGATGATTGCAGAATGCGATGTTGTATAGTTGTCTCTTAAACTCCTGTGTGTAGTGTGACCTGTCCAACCCTTCCTTTGTAGTGTCTTTGGTGACAATGCTGCATTGAGACTATTTCTGAGACTGTGGATAGGGTTTTAATCCTTTCTGCTAAGAGTATGTACTAAATTATGTTTCTTCTTGATTATTTGAATCTGGGTATGGCAGTGGAAGTAATCTATGTAGAAAACCAATTCATTTTCCGGTCATCAGGAGCAAGTGTCTTTTTCTGTCACAGGGAAGTGTTTGCATGTTAGTCTAATGTCTGGTGTCACATTGTGAAGACTAGTCTGATGAACAGTTGTCTTCATGTCCTGACTGGCTTCACTGTGCTTGAAGGTTACCTTGAAATGCAAAGAGCAGAAGAAGGCCTGCATAACTGTATAACTGCATTGTGTATGTGGGTTTGGAGGGGCAGAATGGTAAGCCTTGTGACAGAACAAACTCCTCTGAATTGGCTCATCGTAAAGCTGGGTATATTTATCTTATTACTATCAGGGTTCATTGTCTTGCAGTTCTGGGTCATGGAGATATTTCTTTCTTTTCTTCCATTTTGCAAGAGATGCAAAATGCTCACTTTGTTCAAACAAACAGGTTGCCATTTCACTGAGAATAAGTGAATGGCGCCATTGAGGTACTGTTCATGTATTGTGGACTTTCCAGATAGCATGTAAACATATTTTTCATTGACTGCACATTTCATTGACAAGAATGGGATGTATTTTCAAGTAAACTGATTTAGGAATGAAGATTGAGAAGATGCTAAATATAAAATTCCTCAAAATAATGGATTAATACTCGGTGCTATTGATTGAGACATTATGAGCAAAGATATATAACATTCTCGGTTCTGTCGCTGGCTCATGTTCACTGCCCAAGGAAACCAATCCATCTGTGCTTCCAAACACACCATCTGTAGAAAGCTGATAATGCCCATCCTTCTGTGAAGCACAAAACAGCTCAGAATCACTAGTCTAAGTCTGCAAAACCTGCTGTCTTCATGCCATAGATAGTCTGTTAGAAATGATATCATGCTGACCTTTATTACAGAAACATATTTACACTGATAGATGTGCAATATCCTGTGCCTTTATTCCATGGAAATAAAATAAGTAGTAGTGTTAAGATGATATTCTGGATGTATCATAACAAGAAGATAAGACATTGTCTGCTCCATATCAGTCCCAAGTCTGGCCCCATGACCATTTGTTGACTGGTGGAAAGTGGGAGAAGCAGTGTGTAATGGATTAGCCTACCTTACAAGATTGGTGTTAAGGCAGTAACAGGCCTGGCTTGGAAAAGCTAAGGAGAGCCGGAGGGGGGAGCGATCAGACAACTTTATAGCTGGAAGGACAGTCTGATTGGCTGATGAAATTGGAGGAAGTAGCTTAGCAACTGGAGATGGGCAGAGCCAGAGGGAAAGGCCTCTATAGTTTTTGCGTGCTCGTGTGGAAAG